GAAATCTGACTCCTTCAAGTTGCATTTAAAATAGGTGAACTGAATCTCTTTGCAGTCTGTTAAAACATACTAACAGCGTAACTAGTCACCTAGTCACACAGATCAGAAGTTTTGGGACTCAAGACCTGGCCTGATCGACCGCAATCAAACCAGACTAGCCAATAAGTTATTTTTATGTAGCTATGCAAGTAATTTAAAAAAGAGGTCAGTCATTACTTTCTTATATCACGTACAAGAAAGGTCAATATAATTCTAAACTATCACAACCAAACTACGTAGATACGTAGTTAGGTACTTACTCTTTAATTCGCAGATAAAACACTTTAAATGTTTTTTTTTAAATACTACCATTAAAGGAGTACAAGTAGGTACAATTTTAATCAGAAAATAATCTATGAAATACCGACAAGAACATACCTATAAATACCTAACTATACCTCGTATAACTAAAGTGCTGATCAAACAGCTGATTAAGCAAAACAGCTAAACATAAATACCTTAATAAAACGTTGCTAATTTACATAGAATGTAAAAATTAAAAAAATATTTAATAATATCTTGTCTTCAATCACTGTAGAGAATATAATTGATTGACTTACTTTTAATTTGAACCTGTATACATGCCTACTTTTTATTTGGAGCGCATAAATAAATCTCATTATACCACATCAGCATACAGAAAAGATACTAAAACTTAATTACATTATCAAGTTTTTATTAAGTAGTCCAGTCTTTAGTTGTTAAACTACGAAAGTATTTTATTTATCAAATACAGTTTATTTTTTGTTATTTACTTTTTTGTAAATTAGTTAGTCAAAATCTACCGTCCACAGATAAGATACTTATATAAATATATAATTATTCATTATACTATCAAATAAGAACGATGAGTTCCTCAGCATGCACTTATAAACGGATGTAAACAAAACAATGCCCTGATATCTACGTAGGTTCAATAGATAAAAGAAAATCGAATTAAATTACCTTCATTAATGCAAAAAGCTGGTCATCATCGATCCCCACGACTTTATCAGACGCCGGAGCCATTTTCACAAACAATTTCGATTCAAATATCAATAAATTCCACGAACTATCAACACAAATGTTTAACCGATAGCAGCGGACGTGACACACCAACAAATGCTCGCGTACAAGTGACTAGGCGAATTGAAAAGGAAAGGTTAATACTGGCTGCGTTGATTACATGGTACGGAACGGAGAACTCGACAGAAGCGCACGCGCATAAAGCAGTGCACAATTATTATAATTTTGAATAATTAGTGTTTTCTCAAGATGGGCTGGTGTCCAATGAAACTAAGCATTAAATTAGGCATTTTAGCATAATACATATTAATCACCAGATACTGCTGTCAGATGCCATATATGGAGTGATTTAAAGTTTGGGAAAATTTAACAATAGGGCCGCCGCTAGTAGCCTGCGTGCAATGCCGATGAAGCAGCCTTTTTTTCCTTGCGAAAAGTGGAAAAAAAAGTTATCCACAACCACCCACCGGCTGTCCGGTGGGGTATCCCGATGGGTGTTCTGTTAATTTCTTTTTATCCTTATTTCCATGAGTTTAGAAATCATGTTACTTTATTTTGATACAATTATACTGCGGCACGTCGTTGCATACCGCGGGACGCAGCAGCATGTCGTGTCATGCGGTTTGATTCTACGGATTATCATGCCAGCGCTTGCCGCGACGTCAGTCAGCGTCAGCCTTAAAAACGCACGCCACCCAGTCTCGGATAGTAGCGGGGAAAAGATGTATAACCTAGAAGGGAAATCCCTAATACCCCGACGGACCCCGAGTCATCTACGACTTACTGATGGCTCCCACCCACGTGTGTGGTGACTACGAATTACCCTAGGGGTAGGGACCCCTAAAGGCGCTTCCGAGCACATCGCGTCGCCACCTTTCACCTTCAAGCCTCCGCTTATGGCGAACGGAGATGATTCAGCGACCTCCGGCTTTAGCTGCCTGCTACCTGGTCCGTTCCCGGGCCCACTTCGCTGTCTGTTTGCTTTAGCTTAGTTTTGCCAACCATGGCCGCAATCAGTCACGTGGTCATGCCTCTGCTCCACACACGCCGAGCATTCTGCCAGCGTGAAAAGCGCCGTGTCACGGGCACACAGGCGTTGACTCTTTGCGGATCTTTCGTACACCGATCAATAGATGTTACTATTATGACATTTTTTACTACTTTATTTTGGTTTTCGTTTCGAAATCTGCTTTGCCGACCACTTGAAAAAGCCGTTCCTGGCGGCCCTGGTCAGCAGTTCCTAAACTTTTCAGGGGAAGGAATACTCAGCATAACTGAGGTATTACATTGACCAGATCTAGGTGGGGGAGGAACTTTTATTGTTTAATTCTTCATCCACACACAGACACTCATGCACTCACACTCACACATACACATTCATATGCAGCTATCTATTTATCAAGTAATTTAGAATGTTTTGTCATTGTTTAAGCCCTAGGCATGAGTCAATTGTATTCACTAAGGCCCAGGGTACTCTGAACGTCGGTCGCGTGCAACCGACGACCGACGCGTGTCCGCCGCTGTTGCCGTACGAATGCTATGTACGGAAATGCTCAGCGCTAGGTTCTCAGAAACGTTGGCGGCGGCGGACAGTGCGAACGGATAAGGTCGCACTGTCCGCCGCCGCTTTAAGGCTTTAAGGCGGGCGTCTGGAAGTCGTGATTGTGAATGGCGCTGCTTGAATAATCGTGTTTGTACTCGAATCAAAATGAACTAAAATATGTTATTTTTTTGTGAGAAGAAATGGCAGATGTTATCAAAAAAAGAAAAGAAAAAAAAAACTAGGTAGGTGATTTAATATTCACCGACCCACATAAATTGTTGATCGAACAAGATAGTATTATATCCTATAAAAATAATTAACAATTAATTTTCCTTTATTAAAGCTCACTTTAAAGCCAGGACGCCGCGGCGTCGACATTGCCAGTGGTATCCGAGGGAATTTCCGCACAGGAAAAAAAAAAAGGACCACGCGGCGTGCGCCCGTCGCTATGGTACAAATATAATACCGACCGACGCATTCGGCGTGCGACCTTGTCGGCTCGCACTGTCTGCCGCCGGCGACGTGTCTAAGAAGAACCCAGCACTGAGCATTTCCGTACATAGCATTTGTCTGCCGCTGGTAGCGTACGCCGTCGGCCGCGTGCGAGTGTGTTCTCTGGACCCGGCCTCTTAGCGCCTGTTAGACGTGATCGTGAATGGCACTGCTTGAAGGATCGTGTTTGTGCTCGGAGCAAAATGAACGAAAAGCCTTTCTTCTGCCTGTCGACCCTTGAGTATATTTAAAACTAATCAGACTAACAATCAAATGAACATAATATGTTATGTTAACCCAAATATATTCACTAGGCATACATAATATACAAATCTAATCTACAAATATATACATTTATATATGTGATTTTGAAAGCGTTTTGGAAAAGAAAATTTTGAGTTATTTATCAGTAACAGAAGCTATATATAACGTTAATTTAATAAAATATATATATTTTTTGTCATCAAAGTCGATATTCATATCGATTACAGAGAAAAGGTGAGAACCAGTAGTAGGGCTTTTCAATCGCAAGTAGGTAAATACTACGAATAGAAATACTATACTCACGCGCAAGGTCAAGGACGTTTAAATTATTATTCGCCGGAGTGTAGTGCGTGCATACCTGGACAATGAGTTTAGTGATCGGTGGATAGGTCGAGGAGGGCCAGTGCCTTGGCCACGCAGAACTTAACGCCCCTGGATTTTTTGTTATGGTCGGAAATAAAAATACTTGTTTATACACGGGAATATGAAAGCCGTGATAATTTACGCATTGCGATAGTGGACGCTTTTGATAAAGTGAAAAGTGATAGAGACACATTAAGAAAATTAAAAAACAATTGCATTAAACGTGGACGTTTGTGTATTGAATGCAGAGGACTCCATTTTGAGCAGTTGCTTCGATACAGAGAAGTGTAAATAGTGTAAATAGGTATGTAAGTTAATTATTCTGTAGATAGCTCCCATTTTTTAAATACGCTTGAAATATTTATACCTACAGTCCGTTGATAAATTGATTTGTTGTGAAAAGAACAATCGTGGTTAATAATCGAAAAGAAGTTTAAATAAAATAGGTATTGCCGACGGTCCTAAGCCCGTGTAAAGTATGAAGGACAAATTGGAGTCTATCTACGTAAGTACTCGCTAGCTCGCGCCTATAGGTATACTTTTATCAGCTGCTGTTAGCGTCGGCGGTGCGCAGAGGCCGCCGAAACGCCCACGGACTTGTTTCATTCATATAAGATAATGAATGAATGATCAGTCCATTACTACTTTCCAAGTCGATCGAGTAAAAATGAATATTAAAACTGAAACTTTTTTTTAGACAACATTACAATTGATTTAATCATTTTTATTGGTACTATAGATGATTCCAAATTAAAATGTTTCGTTTCCAAAACGCCTAAAAAATCACCGTGTATATCATTCAAGCTTCTATATGCAAATATCATCACCTGAATCTTTATTACAATAATAATTTTTAAATACAATCTTTCTTTTTTTTCTTTTTCTGATATCTCAAAAAAAGTGTATAAGTATATACCTATACATAAGTATTCTATCAGTCTCCAAAGTTTTCATTTCAGTAGATGTCCAAAATATTATTATTATCTGACACACAACACCATCTAGCTTCAAGCTAAGCAGAGCTTATACTTTGAAAGCTAGATTGTCTGTTAGAATACTTATCTACTTTTTTTTGTAATCTCTTAAATCTTTTCTATAGAAAACACCCAATATGTGAATAAATAAAAAACTTTTTATAAAAAATAATTTTATTAATTAACTTATTCTAATTACAGCAGCTTGGTCACAAAATCTTTCAAAGACTAATTTTATTGTGTGACAGAAAATAATTTTGTTTTTTAGTTCATATAAGATAATGATAAGTGGAAAAAGTGTTTCTCACATTTATTTCCTTTTAATTCATCACAGTAAAGACTACTCCACCTCTTTCTGGTTCATCATCATGTACTTCTTTGTCACTACCTTCAAGGTCTGAATCATCATCATCATCACTCACTAAGTCTCTATACTTCTTAAAATTACTCTTGTCTTTAGGAAATTCTCCAATTTTGACTCCTGTTCGAGCTACCAACTTCTCAGCCGCATGTTGGGCTTCAATCTCTTTCAAATGTGTATTATACTCCTTTTGGAGTTTCAGTGATTCTCCTATCGACAATACCTTAGCTGGCCCATGGATAGCTGGTGGAGGCGTTGCAGCAGTCACTTCCCAATGCTTATGTTTTTTTCTTCGGATTTCTTTTTCAAGATTATGTACATCAGATTTTGTAGTTCTATATGGTTTAAACTGACCTGTTAGTTTAGATTTAGGATTAAGCTCAGTTTTCTCAACAATATACTTAACATGCGGTAGTTCACTTATTTTAATCAAATCTTCCGTAGTCACCAGAGGCTTTTCAGGTTCCAATACTTTAACTAATTTCTCTTGCGCCGTGCTTTGACTAAGAATATGTAAAACGTCTTCCGGTTCACTGTCGTCATCTGAATCAAGGAATTCGTCCCTTTGCTTTTTAATTTTACCAGTCCATTCTACTTGTTGGACAGAGTTTTCATCAACTCCACTTAACCTCATGTTATCGAACATTCGACAAGCTTCGTCCTCATTTTCCCTCGCTTTTAGTTCTCTGACTACTTTGTCATGAAACTCTTGGATTTTAGCACCTCTGTCCTTTAATTTAGAAATGAAAGACTTGTTATTGAGTAGCTTTAGTTGTCTGTCTCTTATCTCACAAAGTTCTGGAATTATTTTTGATGACAAATTAGTAACTTTACCATCAATTTCACTTTTCTGGGAACCCTGACTTTTATTGTTATTCTTCATAGTTTAAGAACCCTGCCTTGATTTTATATTACATTACTGATAGTTTGCCTCGGCCTTTAAACAAATTACTTAAAACTCGAAGGTGATATAGGTTATGACACTGTTTTTGTTATACGTTATTTTCCTATTCTCTAGTTTTGTAATTTTATTCATCATAACACGAATTTGATTTTGACATCTGTCACTGCAATAGTGCAATTCTGACGGTTCTGAATTGTGACTATAGACAACTTGAAAGACAGTAGAGGTATAAGAATTAATCATTTCTCTAAAAATGATTCTCTGGCACTTTACTTCCTTTTCTTTATTAACTTTGATTTAATCACAAAAAATATATTCCTGAGTAAGAATATACATAAAAAGAGTGTCACCAATTTCAATGAGCCTACATAATAGGAAATAAGCGTAAACCTGTATTCTTTATTTTCCACACTTAGTGGTAATTTTTCTTCTTTTGAATCTGACCAAATGGGAATTATATCCGCCTAACTAAAAAAAAAAACAATTGAGAACCTCCTCATTTTTTAAGTCTGTAAAAGTAGCATGATATCGATAATGTTATATGTGATAAAGATATGTATTACCTTATTATAAATTCTGTAAATTAGTAAATAAAGTTTCACCTATTTTAATTAGGTATAAGTTAAGGTTTGACATTAAATCAAATAATCACGTATAACTTAAAGGGTTGGATTTCTAACCAAGATTTTTAAAAAGAACGCAGAACAATTAAAAAGTGACAGACAGTAATGTCAAACTAAATTGTCAGTTGTCACTATTTTGTGTGGGAATATTTGGGATGGTTCTTGTTTTATGATTTTAAACACTATTACGTTTATTTTATCTCTTCTCGGGTTTTGAAACAGTTAATAGCATATTTATGATGTTCATTTTTATTGACTTATAATCAAATTATTTAAGTTCAGAATATCGATTAGTGCTATGATGGAGGACGCTACGGTATGACAATGTTATATTCTTAGTTTATGTTAAGCTTTCTTCACTGCGCAAATATAGTAACTTTAATTAGGTTGTAAATGTTTGTAAAATAATAAATCGGCAGTAAGAAAAATGACCGCTTGTCTATTTGCAGGTACCACTGCATCTAGAGCCTATACAGCAGAATGAAGTGTGCGACAAGAGGCTATGGATCGGGAATCTCGACACCAGAGTTAATGAGTATGATTATTTTATCTATATTTCTATCACAGCATTTTTATTTCATTACATATAAAATATATACAGAGATAGATGAGACATTTCAGTCAAGTAGCCTTTTGTGGTCTACTGCTGGAGGAAACATTTGCTTCTAACCTAATTATGTGATCCTAAACCAACCTTGAGATCTAACCAAATAATGAAGCCAGAACTATAATATTTTTGATAGCAATCTATACTGTTCAAGTATGCTGTGCTCTTAGTTGAAATTATGTTTGGGGGTGTTTAGGCGACAGATAAATATAAACATGGTGAGCGGTAATAACTGCATGCAATGCACTACTTGTTTATGATGCTTTTTTATTGAAGTAAATCTTCTTTATGCATGCGGGGAGTAAGCTGTTGAATGTATGACGAGAATGTTATGAAAAGTGTGCTTGGGCTAGGCGAACGGAAGTTGAGAGGGAGATATAAGTCAGTGAAGATAGAAAAAGAGAGAGTTACATTTCGTATGTTACTGTAGGGCAAGAGAGAGAGGTGCGAGCACACATTTTCTTTTTCTTTCTCTCATAGCCAAGAAATTTACTTCAGTTGTGTGGTCTAAAGCACACTTGTTTTTTATTATAAGTCAGGAGTTTTACCTTAATAATGTAAAACACAACCTAACACTGGTAAAAAATCAAAGTCCAGAAAAAATTTTTGCTACAATTTTATCCATGCTTTAGTTATATTTTTTCTTAATTTTAAGTATTTTTAGTGTAAGTACATATTTTTAATAAACTACCTTTTTTTATTACTGGTATCAACTACTGAAAATGGTCCGTGTGTATGGCAACATCGAGAAGTTTGACATGCTGTTTCATCGGAGTGGAACATGCGCTGGTCAGCCCCGTGGGTTTGCATTCGTCACGTACAAGCTGAGGCAAGATGCTATTAAGGCCATGAACTCATTGAATGGTCAACTATTGGGCTCTAAAAGGATCTGTGTTAAATTTGCAAAGAGTACAGTTAGTAATATTTAAGTTTTATTTTTACAGACTTTGTTAGATATAAAAGACATGCTAGGGATGCTTTAGAATAATAGGTTTAATATTTCTCTTTTAAATTCATAGACCACATGCCAAAACACCAATTTGTAAGAATAGTGCCGGTACTAATTACTAAATATTTTATATGCTAAAATATGTTATGTTAAATCAGCATTGCCTTTCAGTTGAAGATAAATTTAATATTAGCATAGCATATGCACACTTATAGAAGTTCAATGATTCCTGATTAATATGGTAGACACAAAATACTGAAATACATTAAAGGCCCTTTTTCTGTTACTAAAATTATTATTTTTTAAATTGACTACATATTTTTATTCTTTATACACACAACCGTTTGACACAGTAATCAATACATACTTGTTCTTCATTTTAGGATGAACACGAAAAACCCAAACCAGAATTGGGCATAGCTGCTTTAGCAGGTGCTAAACCAGAACTTAAACTCAGCAAGAAAACTGCCATCCAGTCAATTGAAGCAAAACTTAAAATGATGGAAAATATGAAAGCGGGTGACGATTTTGTTGTGAACAAATTGGCGGCAAATGAGGCACCAGTTATTGCACAGTATCAGACAAGAACACACCAACCACCTAATAAGTCCATCAGCTCGTTCAGAAGACGACATCCTTACCATAAAAAGAGATAGGTAATAGTAAAATATTATGCCTTTATAACTATGCAGCTAAAACATGCTACTGTGAAACATATTAAAACATCTCAGATTTACTTGCTTTACTCATCCATATACTGTATAAGAATCATCTACAATTAAATTCAAATTATTTATTATCATTATATCATTATTACATAATTACATCACATAGTAATAAAAATATACAAGCACAAGGCTTATTAGAGGATTAAATGAAGTAGAAAGTATCATTTTAATTGAAAAATAAATAAAAATCAATGTTTTTTTGTTTGTCATGATTGGGCTGGTGTTACCAGCTTTATTTGATTTATATAAAACAACTTTAGTTAATTATTAAAATAATAATGTGCTATGGAATGTTTAACCATGCTTATGCCTCACTCTATTACAAAAAAAAACAGTAGAATGCTTTATACCGGTACAGTCTTGCATGCATATTTTACTAATACCAAGCAATTTTTTTAATAATTGATTTTCACGGTAGCGTGTGTAAATCATTTGCAAATAAGTTAGGCGTGATATTTTGAAGTAATTATTTTAAGTATTGCAGTATTTAAATAATAAGTTATCAAGTGAGATGTTGATACAGTATAGATCTGGTATAGAAATGTCGATGTTTGGGACTGTTTGAGGACACATTTCTCAGTTTATAGACAGGAATATAGCTCTTGTTATTGTGGTATCTATTGGCTGTTATACTGGTGTTAGAAAAGTAACAGAACAGCAGAATAATTTGCTAGGGATGCATTCGCATACACAAAAGTTGATGGGATCGCATATTTTTTAATTGAAAGGAGAGGAAAAAATTACAATTGGCTATGACCTTCAGAATGCAAACTTTGATCTCTAAAGGTTGCTTTTTTAATTAATAATTGTCAATCATCGTAATCAACGTATTTCCGAAAAATGCATCCTTAGTGAATTATTCTGTTGTTCCGGTACTTTCCTAACACCCGATATGTATATATTGAGACAGGCAGACATGACTACGTTTTCTAGTAGGGTAACTTTATGCAATGGATGCGCCTTGTATGTGTGTATGTGTTGTTAATTTTTTATAAAGATAGCCTGTGTCTTCAACTATGTTATTGGCAATTGCATGACTGGATAATTTTTTGACATATATACTCATTAAATAAAAATGTGCGTAAATGAATACAAAGTTGTGTAAAAATTTTAAAGATTCAACAATATTTTAGGTTTGTGGTGATGAAGAAATACATATATGCACTCACATTTTTATCGGAGTAGATAGAGCAGTATTAAAATTTTATATATATAGATTTGCATAATATTTATGACTCAGTGGTAGAAAATAAATTACTGGCAACCCTGAATGTGAAGTAAGATCCATCGACATTTATATCGATAATACAAAATAGTTGTAAGTAAGCCTTATACCATCACTGTGTTCAATGTAAGTTTGTTGTAATTAGCATAAATGATATTATTGTATTCATCGAATTGCAAGCAATGATATAAACGATGCATATTGTTATTAATACTCAGTTCTTTGTCAATATTACAGTTATTTACCTTTCGTGGTTTGTGTGCGAAGTTATCGTCAATATATGTAGCTATAAACATCATTAAATTGTTTTATTTTTATATAGCATGCAACAACTTATTACTCGTCAAAACTGGTTAGCCTATTATATTTTGACTCCAATATGCATTTTTAAATGGAGTTCATTCAAGGGTAACTTGTATACGCTACGTATAGTATACACAGGCTGATTGAACTGTCCTAAGCTGGCTTACCCACCTAAATTTAAGTGAGCTAACGCTCAAATGAAAGTTTTACTATGACTTCACACGAAAAAACATGACTCATGCGGCGTTACCTCGCTCTGAGGCGTTCCATTTAAGGCGTGAAGCGCAAGCGAGAGCGCGGAACGAGTGACAAAGAGGCACAATCGGCCTCCGCGCTCGGCAGCGTTCGACATCTGTCTCTCTCCTACTTGAGTCAGCGATGCGTCCGCGTGGACAGCTGCTACCTACTCGTATACAATAATACATTTTTGAAAAATGCTACCATTCCATCAGTATTTTCTTATGACGTTGTCACGTTCAACTATCGTCAGTAAACCGACTTTACAGACAACCGATTTTTAGAACAAAACGAAACTACCTCGACTTGAACTATTTTTTTTTTTTTTTTTTTTTTTTAATCTTTATTTGATTCGGGGTTTTGATCCAGTAAGGATATGCCAACCCCATTGTACCTTGATACATGGTAAACACAAATATTTTTGTTAAAACAGTCTGGTATATTAAATCATTGCTGAACTACTGTAATCAGGTGACACAATTTTTTAGCTGCTTCTGACCTTGGATAACTCATTATGCTTTGTATTAAACCCACATCTAATAAATTTATATTTAGTTCTTTGAGCAAAGCCTCGCGTTCATTTTTATTCCTGTCACAATCCATCAGCAAGTGTTGCACATCTTCTATTTTATTACAAACAGGACAATTAGGTGAGTCAGTTTTTTTCATTAAATGTGCAAATTTTGCTGATGGATAGTGACCAGATCTAATTCTAAGAGCTAGTTTCACATAGTGTCTGCTTAATCGAGCGTCATCAAACCATGCGACCTGAGGAGGCATTGCCTGAATGGTTTTGTACCAGATACCTTTTTCCTTAGATCTATCGTTAAAATAAGTAACCCAGTCATCATAGCAGCATTTTTTAAATTTAGACACTAATTCCCAGTCATCAGGTAGATAATTTAGAGCGCTTCCATTTACAGCTGCCAGTTTAGCTATTCGGTCTGCCTGTTCGTTTCCCTTAAGACCAATATGTGCTGGAACCCATTGCAACCTTACATCTTTTTCACTTTTATTTAAGGAAATAATAGTTTTTAAGATTTCATAGGCTATCGAAGCACCTCTGAAGCCAGAAGCGCATCGAGCCATATGCTGCAGCGCACTCTTACTGTCCGAAAAAATTACAATTTTGTTTGAATTTAGATTTAGGTTTTTTACATAAGATAATGCCTGAAATATTGCAATCAGCTCCAGCGACATTATGCATGCCTCATAGTTAACTCTAAAACCAGCCGCATATTCCAAATTTTGATCATAAAAACCAGCTCCCGAACCACATTCACTTTTAGACCCATCCGTAAATATCTTATGCCACTCGCTGTATGTACTGTTTAATTCTGCCACTATGTTATTCAACAATAAATTAGGCTCATAATTTGTTTTTGAGGATTTTATACATTCCAGGTTTAATTTAAAATAGTTTTTAGTTTCTATATCTGTTACCCAACCATCCAAGGAAAACATACCATGAAGATGGAATGAATTAATATTGCATTGGCTCGCCTCACTAAAAGTCTTAATAAGCAGCGGTTTTCTCTTATTCGCCCAATATCTATCAGTAGACAGGACGTTTAAATTTGATATTAGGTCGACAATTTGATTACTATCCCAAGAAGCCGCTTTCAGACTATATTTATAAGCCAAGAATTGCCTTCTCAGAAACAATGGCATTAAATTTAACTCACTTTCCATAACATGGATCGGTGAACTTTTAATAAAACCCCCTATAATTCTTAAGGCCTGGTTTTGCAATCTGTCAATTTTTAATAAATGTGTTTTTGCACAACAGTCAAAGATGAATGATCCGTAATCTATTCGACTTCTTATCAAATTAATATATAACCTACGCAAATGTTTTGTGTGCACCCCCCATGCGCTACCAGCTAGTACTTTTAAAATATTTAAATATTTGGAACATTTTTCAATAGCTTTGTTAATGTGCTTACCCCATCGTAAACCTCTGTCCAACCACATACCTAAGTATTTAGTACAGTCTGATAATAATAAATTTTGCCCATTTAATTTTAGTATGGGAGTTATTCTCCTTCGACCCCTGCTATAGACACAGTAATTAGATTTAGTGGGAGATAATTCTAAACCAAGTTCGCTTAAATATGTCACTATAGTGTTTAAGTCACTTTGCATGTTTCTTTCACATTTTTTTAAGTCCCTGTCCTTAATATATAAAACGTAATCGTCCGCATACTGTGACCATATTACGTTTAAGGGCAATGTATTAATCCCATGTGTTATTAAATTAAAAAGTAATGGGGATAGGGGATCTCCTAGTGCTAAGCCTTTATTAGTCCACCGCATAATCAAACAGTCACTATTATTATTTATTTTAATATTAAGTTGTCTTTCACTTAGAAGTGACCATATGTAAGTAGGGGAAGGTGGCCCAAAACGGGTGGGCCGCCCAAGACGGGTAAGCACTCGTATATTGTTGTATCAAGCATAAGTGTCAATGTGTGCTTGTGTCGAGAGTGGCCGAACATTGACGAGTTTCGATCAGTTTCGCTCAGGCGCCGGAGTCGCGGAATGGCGTAGGTGTGTGCAACGAAAGTTTTAAAGTGATTTTGTTAAAAAAATTCAAGGTAAGTGTCTCGTAATTAGTCGAAAACCTTTATAATTCTCATATTATTAGTAGTACCGTTTCATTCAAGCACTATCTAACTTTAATTTAAGATAAAAAGTTTGCCCCATTTACCTTTCATTTTGAGGTTATTATTAATTTACAAAAAACATGTGCTCTCGGGCAAAATGGGTAGGGCAAAACGGGTACATACTCGTTTTGCCAGGAATCAGTTTTGTATTAAAATATTTCGGATCTTTTTCAGATGGTAAATAAATATAAGCGTAAAACCGTACGTGCATCGTGGAGTGAAACTACTATGCAACTAGCAATGGAAGAAGCGAAGACTACTTCGGTCTCTGCCGCCGCAAAGAAGTATGGCCTTATCCTATCTACTTTTCAACGGCGTATAAAAAAGGAAGTTCTGAGAAGAAGCTACGAAGATATCAGCCGGTGTTTGAGCAATAAGGCTCAAGAAAGAGAATTACTAGAATATGTATTTCAGGTCGATGATATTTTCAATGGTTGTACTAAAAACTACTTTTTAGAGCTTGTTTACCAGTATGCAGAACGAAACACCATATCGCA